ATGGTGGGGATGGGGAAGAGGAGGATGAGTATGTGGATGGAGATCATGGTAGGGATGGGTAGAAGGAGCAGGAGGAGCATGCTGAGTAGGTGGATGCTGATCATGGTGGGGATGAGTAAGTGGATGGGGATCACTGTGGAGATGGGGGGGGAGGAGGAGGAGGAGGAGTAGGTGGATGAGGATTATGGTGAGGAGGGTAGTAGGAGCAGAATGATGAGGAGTGGGTGAATGGGGATCATGGTGGGGATGGGTAGGTGGATGGGGATCACGGTCGGGATGGGAGGAGGAGGAGGATGAATAGGTGGATGGAGATCATTGTGGGGATGGGTAGGAGGAGTAGAAGGATGAGGAGTAGGTGGATGGGGATCACGGTGGGGATGGGTAGGAGGAGCAGGAGCATAATGAATAGGTGGCTGGAGATCACTGTGGGGATGGGTTGGAGGAGCAGAAGGATGATGAGTAGGTGGATGGGGATCATGGTGGAGATGGGTTGGGGGAGCAGGAGGATGATGAATAGATGGATGGGGATCATGGTGGGATGGGTAGGAAAAACAGAGCATGAAGACTTGGTGGATGGCGATCATGGTGGGGATGGGTAGGAGGAGTATGATGAGTAGGTGGATTGGGATCATGGTGGGGATGAGTAGGAGGAGCAGAAGGAGGATGAGTAGGTGGATTGGGATTATCGTGGGTATAGGTAGGAGTAGCAGGAGGAGGATGAGTAGGCGGATGGGGATCATGGTGGGGATGGGAAGGAGGAGCAGGAGGATGATGAATAGATGGATGGCGATCATGGTTGGGATGGGAAGGGATGATGGGTAGGATGAGTAGGTGGATGGGGATCATGCTGGGGATGAGTAGGAGGAACAGGAGGAGGATGGGTAGTTGGATGGGGATCATGGTTGGGATGGGGAGGAGGAGAATGATGAGTAGATGGATGAGGATCATTGTGGGGATGAGTAGGAAGAACAGGAGGATGATGAATAGGTGGATAGGGATTATGGTGGGGATGAGTAGGAGGAGGAGGATGAGTAGGTGGATGGGGATCATGGTGGGGATGGGGAGGAGGATGAGTAGGTGGATGGGGATCATGGTGGGGATGGGGAGGAGGAGGAGGAGGAGGTGGATGGGGATCATGGTGGGGATGGGTAGGAGGAGGAGGATGAGTAGGTGGATGGGGATCATGGTGGGGATGGGTAGGAGGAGGAGGATGAGTAGGTGGATGGGGATCATGGTGGGGATGGGTAGGGGGAGCAGGAGGAGGATGGTGAGTAGGTGGATGGGGATCATGGTGGGGACGGATAGCGGGAGCAGGAGCATGATGAGTAGGTGGATGGGGATCATGGTGGGGATGGGTAGGAGGAGGATGGTGAGTAGGTGGGTGGGGATGGGTAGGAGGAGCATGATGAGTAGGTGGATGGGGATCATGGTGGGGATGGGTAGGAGGAGGAGGATGAGTAGGTGGATGGGGATCATGGTGGGGATGGGTAGGAGGAGCAGGAGGAGGATGGTGAGTAGGTGGATGGGGATCATGGTGGGGATAGGAGGGCGAGAGGGTTTAGCAGGGGTCCCGTCTCCTGTGAACTCTGGGACTCCCCACATGGCTTTGCCTCATCTCCCAGGTTGGCTGAGTGTGGCGGCCCCTTTGCCCGGCCCGTCCCTTCCTCCCCAGGACGGTGCCAGTGGGGCGCACACATTCTTTCCAGGGCTGGAGCCAGGCAGGCGCCTCAAAGCGCGGAGCCAGCCCATGGCCGCTCTGCCAGGACGTGCCGCGCCCGGCCAGGGAGCTCGCGCGCCTCTCGCCCGCCGCCGCCTCGCGGTGCCCTCCGCCGCGCAGACAATGGGAGATCAAAGGGGGGGAGGAGGAGGAGGATGGTGCGAGAGGCGGCTGAAGTCGAGCCGGAGCGGGTTGCGTGTGGCGCTCTCTCTGCGCTCGATTAGTGATCCTGGGGAGCGAGCCGGGGACAGAGGGGTGGGGGTGCGGGGAGCCGCCGTGTGGGTGAGTGTGTGTGTGTGTGAGTGTGTGACCGGGTGAGTGTGCGAGCGAGTTGCGCAGCTGCTCTGCGCGCAGCCCCCGCCGCCGCAGCAGCGCTGGCATTTCGTGCGGGGAGCGGCGGCCAGTTGCACCGGGGAGCGAGAGGCAGCAGCGCGCAGGAGGAGGAGGAAGGAGAAGGAGGAGGGAGGCCACACAGACACCAACTGAAACAAAGTATCTCCAAACCAGCCCCCAACTCCACCTTGTGAGACTCCCCAGCATGGCTTCCGAGGAACTCTACGAGGTAATGACCCAGAGCACCAGCCCTGCCCCCCACCCCGTCCGTACACACACTGCCCGACCCCCCGCCCTTCTTTCGGGGCTGTTTGAAACACTGCAGGCTTGTCACCACACTTGCTCCTGCTGCTGCCCCTTCTCTGCAGGGCCCGGCGGGTGCAGGGTTCCCCCACCCGCCGCCTTCCTCCCCAGTTTTGCTGGAGGAGGACGGAAATATGACTGAAAGGAGGAGACGGTAGAGTGTTACCATTGGCCTGTGCTCCCCCAACAACACTTTGACTCCAGCGGGAGGACGGGGCGGGGGGAGGGGGAGGTTGCTGGATGGTGGGGAGTCGCGCTGACAGCAGCGCCCAGTTTAGAGTGCAACACAAAAGTGTGCCGCTTGGTAGTGTGCAAAAATGTGTGCAAAGCCGAGTTATGGCATGTGTTGGGGGAGGAGGGGGTTTCCTTCTGTGTGTATGTGTGTATCGAAGTACCACCCTGTGCCTTGGCCATGCAGCAAGCTCAGGTGATGCAAAATATTAAAATTTAAACTGCTCATCCCCACATGCTTTAACAAGAAGGTTAAAGGTTGTAAGAGAAGCCATGAGAGCCAAAGTTAAGCCTCTGACACACCATCATTCACCGGGTTCTTGAGAAGTGCTTGAAGGGAGCAGTCATGGCATGAGTTGGGGGCTTGGGGTGAGGAGCGGATGAGATGAGATGATAGCCTTAACTTTGAATTTCCTGTCTTTTGATGCCTCAGTTTTACATCCTTAACCTTAATTGAAAAGCAGTATGGTTTCTCTTGGATTTAACTTCCTTGTTTTTATTTTTACAAGAAGCCATCCTTGGGAGTGTAGAACAGTCATTATTCTGGAGCCATTCTGATTTCTTTGATAAATATGTATTCACCTGAGACAACAATGGTTTTGTCTCTTGGGAGAATACATTTTAAGGCAGGTTTTTTAAAAAAAATAAGACTATTTGTAACCAGAGGTTGGAATTTTGTGTCATTGAGATCAGTTGTAGAAGAGTGCACAGAAAGACATTTTTTTTCTCCTGCTGGTGCATATATAAAAATTGCCCGTTAATAGAATTACATATATGCAATGATGGAAGAATAGACACAGAAACCAGTGAAAAGTATCTTGTGTCCACTTAAATTTATAAGTGAGCTTTAGTGGTGCTGAATTGGTAGACCAGAAAACCAAAGGCCTCTATTCCCAAGTCAGATAAATCATAGTTAATAGCTTTTGCAAGTTTTTCCACCTTATTAATGTGGCTCAACTGAGACTTGAAGGGGTCATTTCTAGAAGTAAGAAGATAAATTTAGGGATCAATTTGGGAAATTCTCTATGTGCAAAACTTACATTGATTTTGGTGGGTGTTCTGCTGGTAAAAGGATTTGCGGAATCGGGCCCTTAGACTCTATTCTCATTACAGTATTTGTCCTCTTTGGAGCATAAGCATTTCTAATCTGGTATCCTGTCTGATACCAATATCTGATGCCTGAGACTGTCATATAGAGTACCAGTTTTGATAGGTGTCAAAATCAACCAACCTCCCCCGCTCCCTCCATTGCGTTCTACTAGGAATTGCATCCAGTCTACAAATTCATACCAAGTGGGCCACTGAGCTCCACTATGATAGTAATGCATTTTGGTCACTAGACAATGTGTTTTAAATGGTGACTTAAGTGAAAGACTCTGTATCTCATTGCCAGTCCTCTGAGCAGTCTAGTTATTCCACCTGTTACTCAAAAGCCTGCTTTTTTCAAAGCACCAAAAGTGGTTGGACCATATCATTATGGATTACTTTTTGTCATTCTTAATCTAAAAATAAAATTAATTCTTTAATTATACAAGTGCAGAGTATGCAAAGGGCAACTAAACTTTTATTTTAAAGCTTGTATGACTTATAAATGGACAAACTGTCACTGATTTTTGTAATTTAAAAACAAAATTGCTGTTCAACCTTGCCAAGTTTCTTCTGGAGGAGGAATTTGCATGGCTGTGCCACCAGTGCCTGATGCTGAACCATCAGAAGAGATGAGATGTTGAATGGAACTCATTAAACTACAATGAGTACTTCTAACTCTGCTTCTGATTTTTGTTTTTTGCTTTTTTGTGAGTTATCTTTTAATTAAGGTGCTATATGATTCTTTGCATTCAGTAATATGAAGTCCAAAATCATGCCCTATGAAGTGTGATTACAGCCCTGTTTTTCCAGTCTAATCCTGTGTTTTGGTCAAGAGATGATAATCAAATATCTGAGAATGTTAATCAGTCTAACAATGACAGTTAAACATGCTGGTGTCAAAAGACCCCGGTTCTTCTAAAATAGAAACCTGAATTGAAAATTTTGTTGCAAGTAAGATTAAAAATTCAGAAGCATTGGCCATTCAGTCACTGTATTGGAGGATTTATTTATTTATTTATTTTACTCTTGTTATTGAGGATATTTTCTCTGGAGACCAGAAGAATGGTTATAGGTCAAGATTTGTAATTCAAACGCAGACAACTTGAAAGACCCCAAAACTTTGGAAGAATTACTTTGGATAAGCTGTGGATCCTATCTATTGTTAGTTCATGAGCTTTTATAGGGGCCTTTTTAATGGTAACTAATTGCTCAAGAAAGAATGCATGATCAGAAGAAGATCTTAAGCATTCATTGAGGAGAGACCTCAGAGATCAGTTGTGTTTTGTTTTGGTTTTTTTGCTTTATTTTTTCTCTTCTCTTCTGGACAATAAACCAAAGATGTGATCTTGACTGTATCCATGGTCGCGACAAGTGAGTGGTTTTTCCTTCTAAAAGCCTTACCTAATTTTTCAAGTGATATTACAGTTGGGGATGGACCTGGGGCAGTTGGTGGACAAGACAAGTGATGGAAAGGTTCCTCTCACTTTTTCCCAAATTTGTCCACATGGGAGGGTTTGACTTGCTCTTTTTTATGGCATCTCTCCTGCCCCCCACCCTCCCAATGCACTTACCTTTTAGAAACTCCTGTGCATATTTGCAGCTGTTTAAGCAAAGATTAGGGCTAGTTTCTCCTCTAGTTGGTTTATTTCACTCTCATCTCTTCAATGTTTATGAAAGACCTTGACCAACTTTCATTGCTTTACTGACACCTGCCTATTGCAAGATGATAATCAATAGTTTTTGTTGGGTCAGCAGGGAAACTAGTGATCCCAAATTATCCAGACAGCTCAACTGCAAAGCAAGTTGCAAGTACTTCGTAGTGGTTTGCCTAACCCCTTCTGGCAGAGCTCTGTAGTGGTGATTGGGATTAAAATAATTCCAAATAGTTGGTGGTGTGAGAGATTTGTTTTTGAAACATGAAGGTTATCCCATGTAAATGTTTCGGGTACAATTGCATATTAACAGCTAGCTTAACAACAACAAAAGTCTGGCATTTAGTAGGCAGTCCCCCCCCCCCCCCCCCCAACTTGTTGCAATGGGTTTGGAAAACACTGTTTCTAAATTTTAGTGCAGTGGACTTTGTGCAGTGGAAGTGTTGTGAATTATTTTGTGGCTTTTGGAGACTGTAGTGTGATTAGATACAAAGTGTTTCCATTCTGCCTATAAACATTTCTGTTGATGTTACAGCTCTTTGATTTGTCCCATCGGATGAATTTCTCTTAATGAGTAAACATGGTCCAGGTCTGATTTTGCTTTTGTTAAGCCAATGCTTTTGGGTTTTATCAGGAAGCAACAGAAACCAAATCCACCCGAATTTAGCCAATGTGTAACATTCCTGCTTTTCATTTTGTATTTCACTTTGTCATTGTTCGTAAACCTGATCGTCATATGTCTTAACATCTATCAAGTCTTTTTCCATTAAAAATATTAAAGCTTTACATATTTCAGCCAGTGCAGTCCACATTTTCAGACTGACTTTCATGCTTATAGTAAGGAAAGAACAATATTCAGGAGCCTTTTAAAATTATATTTTCATCCTTAATATATTTCTTGAACATATGTAAGACTTTGCTTAAAAAGACAATATGTAATCTTAAAAAAAAAAAAATGTAAAAATCTGCACAGGTTTAGTGAAATCACAAGTTGGGGCTCATTACATGAGTAACTGGATGAAATTCTATGGCCTGTGTTATATAAGGGGTCAGACTATACGATTTCTTATCGTTCTAGCCTTAAAATCTCTGAAAAATCACACACTGTGCATACAATTTTGGTCCTAGACATAAAATATACTTGGACTACTGCTCATATGCTTATTTCCAAAATAGTGTTTTCAAATTTTTTTCTCCTCCATGGGAAATACCTACTTCAACATATGGGGCTTTCCATATATTGTGGTGCATTGGTATCTGGACCATAGTCCAAGTTGATCTGTTTTATCAGGAAATTTAAACCTCTTATTTTATTAAAAAATCTCATGAAAATGGCAAAAACCAAAACACACAATATAAACTTTGAGTACTACTGACATTTTTCTTGGTGGTTTGATGAAAAATGAATTGATAGTGAGAATGAGTTACAATCCCCCATTTGAGTGATTTTTTTTTTTCCAATGGAGTGTCTCTCACTTTTTTTCTCTGCACCCCTCTAGCAAGCAGTATAAAGTACTCTGGCACCTGTCCTTTGGCCACATTGTTGCTCCACGTGTGCTGATTCCTAGAATATCAGTTAGGTATTGTTTGTCTGTAAAGTGGTTTACAACCTTCTAGCCATACTGGCAAAATGGTGCACCACGACAGACCAGTCAAATGTTATTTGACAACAAATGTGCTGTGATGGAATTGCCATTTCTCACTTCCAAGGGGGGCAGAGACTTGCTTTCCCATCCTCCAACTAATCAGATACCACTGTAGCCTAGCGGAACAATTCGCAAGCTTGCAAAGAAGACACAAGGTGTTCAAATTTCACCTCTAAGTGCTGTTTAAATTCTCATGTAATTAACTACCCTTATTGAAGACAGCCAACCTAAAAAATAGTTATGGAAGAGCCACTCCTCCCTCCCATTTTTTTAAAGTAAGTTAACAAAGAACTTACACAATGTGGGTT